CATTTTCTGAACAGGTCTGAATTATGAACAGAAAAAAAGCAAACTTTCGTTCTTGTGTCAGTCATAATGATGCAATGGTGGTGGAGGGCGCACACACAGCATTACTGCCAATTACTTTTGGCAATCTTAAAACAAACCTGCAGTTTGCCTAGATAAAGTTGAATCTTGTTTAGGGTTTTGAATGTTCCTTTCCACAAGGCAGCCATCAGGCCTGGTGAATTGCTACATGAAACATTCCACTGAAGGAAGTAGTGGAGAGTTCTGTGTGTTCCCCCATAAATGGAAGTACAAAGTCTTTACCAAGCTTCTACTAATCTGGGCAAAGTACTGATGTGCTTTAAACCAGGGTGGGCCAAGAAATAAAACTATTTTCCATGTCTTCTTTGATATTAATAGCCCTTATAGCATCAGGAAAAATATATGTATATAGGATATTAATACATTTAGAATATATTTATAGATTAAAACAATTTTACCATTTTAAACTATAGAAAAGTTTGTTTTTAAATAGGTTGTCTTTAGTAAAATCCCTACTGTATAAAACCACCTGCTACTAAAGTAAGAGTTATTAGACATGCAACACTCTACCCATCCCAGCCTTCAGTAAAACTCGCTCTGGGTCAAGTGCCTTACCTCAAGCACATCCAGTCATATTACAGATAATTACCATTGGCAGCTCATCTCTCCCATTGAGTTAACTATGGTATCTACTTAAATGTGCTCATGAAATAAGAATAGCAGATAAGTAGTATAAATTGCTTATCATCATTTACATTAGCTTTAAAAACGGAATAAGCCCACTTTTACATTTATTATAACAGTGGACAAACTTGTAGTTCAGAAACTAAAGGATTATAATAAAATACTGACAGAATAATATATTTTACAAGGTATATTGGTCTTATGGCTGAAAAATGCCAAGTCAACCCAAAACTGGTATTTCCATCATGAGTGGAGACTATTTGGCTGAATTAACCCCTTATTTCTTAAATCTCTTGGTAACTGCAGCAAAGAAATCCAGTCACCAGAAATCCTGGCACTAGCTTCCTTATATAGCCATTATTAAACCAAAGAAGGGACTCTGCAGGATTTCCTAAAAACTGAAATGATAAAAATGTCCAACAACAAAGGTGAGAACTTTTTATAATTGTTGTAGTAGGTGGTCAGAGCGCAATCCATCCAAGTTTGATTTTTAATGGACGTACCAAAATTGGCACACTTTGGTTTACCTGGAAAAATCAAGGATTCAGCCACAACTCTACTTTTTGGTAGATGTTGAAGCATTACCTAATTTCCTCAACGACCCACATTTGTATGGCTACCCCAGAAATGATGAGGGTGTCCCTCCTTTATAGTTTTGTAATTAGTAGGAGGAAGTAGGAACACTCAAATACCCAAACTCTTGCAAATAAGGCAAGAAGAGAACTTTGGATTGGTAAATAAGCTCACCAGTGTTCCCCTATACATGTGTTATCGCTATATGGGGGAATGTGACCATTTCAATAGCCCATAGCCTGGAATCAAAAATCATCTTTCATTGATCCCACTGCAAGAAGCTGATGTAGGTTGAGCTCCGATTGGATATTTTAAGTCCTTAGATACTGGTCATACATTATATTACATATTAAAGTCTATGGATAGTCCACAGACAGACCATTTTTTTTATACTAGCCAGTATCATAGTTTACTTTCTTTTAACTTAAATTAATGCTGCAAGAACATGGCTTTCTCCTCCCTAACGTTTTCCCTCACAGTTGCTTAATAAAGCTGGACATACATGCTACAAATTTCTCTTGTTTAGCATTGCAGACTGAGCAGAAGAAATCCATTGATTACCTCATCCATGCTAAACAGGACTACAAGGCCAGGGCCAACAAGGCCATCCCCAGGATAAAGTTTGGTTGACTCAGCAGGAAGCGCCTGGAATTCGAGTAGTGTATGGCCAGCTTTTATATATATATATATATATATATTCTACAAACTGACTGGGCGAGTCGGAGGACTGCAATGATGTGCATGGTAAATTACAAAGCCGAGTGCAATTTACATGCAGTTTCAGGTAGTTTACATTTTTATACTGCTGATTGCACAAAACCTGGAGATTCACTGAAGGAGAAGTAAAATAAATAGACAATATTTGCCAGACAGAAAATGTCATTGTATTTTAATTATATACTCCGTACTATAATCTAATATATACCAATGCACATATTTTATTACTGTATGTATATATATTGCACTAACCGAGGCACGGTGTATGCAAGGATCTGCAAAGATGAGACTGCGCTTACAAAAAAAACCCCTCTAACTACAAAAAAAAACGCAAAAGGAAATGTCCCTCTCCCCCCCAAAAAGTATTTTCTGCTTGCATTAGAAACAAAATATTCTTGATCTCTAAATAGTATGCGTGTTATTTTTTGACTACCAAGAAATTTCTGCTAAAATAAAGGCAGAAGGTGAGTACATTTTGTTTGTTGTGATTTGATGCGGCCTTTCTGTCCCAGGTAAATCCCACATACATTTTTTAAAATACAACAAGTATGCAAAGCCTGAAAGAATAAGAATAAAGGGTCTGATTTGCCAGAGACAACCAATTACATTCCAGCTGTGTCCTTTTTCAAGTGCAATTAGGAAATCAAATTTTAAATACAACCTCCCTCTATGGATCAGCTAAATATGAAAAAATAAGGTGTGAAAAAAAACCACACACATTACTAAGATTTCAATGCAAAAGGATCTTAGTAGATCTTATTACTAAAACAAAGTAACCCTATTATACTAAAGGGTCTGTATAAAGAATGTTAACAAATGCAACTTACAAATCAGATAGCTGGGACACAGGGCATTGCTTCATTTAGAACTAGGAATCAACTTTATATGTCAAAAAAAATTCTTGTTAGGAATAAATTCTTGATTGTAAAATAGTCTAAGCAGATGACACAGTAAATTTTGAAAGCTATGGTAAAAGTTTCTCCTCTCATAATAACTATTGTGAAATGCAAGTTATTCTTAGAGCAAGAGTTTCCTTAGGTGACATGATAAAAGACAAAGATGGTGCTTTACAAGAGTTTCCTTAGGTGACATGATAAAAGACAAAGATGGTGCTTTACAATTAAAGGATGTAAGCATTGCTAAGTAGGTTGAAAATACTATTCTTTATACATTAAAGTCTTTTTCTAACCTATTTTTGTTTAAGTTCCAATTTAAAAAAAAAAATCTACTGTCATTGGGATGCAAGACAAAGATAGATGACTACCTGCAACTAATAGGCTTCAACCTTTCTCAGCACTTCTTCTGCTTGAATGAACCCAACTTAATGTAACTAGGTGTAGCGTGCAGCAAAAATAGCCAATGTAATATTCATTGCGACCATAGATTTCCATCTCATACATACAAATCATGGGTGAAGTCACATATTTGCCAAATCAAACACAGAAAAGAAAAACCTGAGTATCTACGCCAGATGTGGGCCTTGGGTTTGTTTGTGCATAAGTAAATGTCATGACATAGAGGTTTTGTTTTCAAAGACAGTAGCTTTCATTACGGAGCTTGTCTTTTCCAAGGGATCAAACTGACCCCACTCTAAATCCAGTTTCAATGATATTTCCTCCTTCTTAGGCTGGATCATCTGCACATTCTTTTAGCTGGATTTTGTCTTGTGTTTCTCTAAACAGAAGCCCCATGTAAATTCTGGAGGGTTTTGTTATATGAATGCATCTGCCTATTCATGCTGACCTGAGAGAAATAAATGTAGCTTGGTAAATGAAAAAAAAAATATTGCCATTTTAAAATGATATGGTTTTCAACTGACTGTCCCACATCTCCACAGACAGTCCTGGGTTTCTTTATTTGTGCTGGAAGTTGATTTGCTTGAAAGGTTATTTTTTCCTCTGATATTGGTCAAATGAACAGCAATATTCATTACAATACCACCTAGTTAGATTTGTACAAGCCGTTGGATGTTTTCCCCAAGCTTGTTACCTAAAGGAGCTCTAGTTTTTACTTCATATGGCAAAAACAGAGTAACAGTTTCATTTTTGCAATATGTATATAGTTTACTAAAGAGCTATTTGCACCTTACCAGTTTTGAAGGCAAGCCTAACTGGTACAAGTTGAGACCCAGTGCTACAGGCTATGGCACATATTCCTATGGACTGACTGTAGTGAGCTCAGAGGCAAGGCAGTGCTTAAAATATTTGGAGGTGTTTGTCTGCATTTGTACAGGCTCTAACAGAGCTGCATTTACAAGGTCAGGAAACTGGCTACTATAGAGTTTTAGGAAGCAGGTCACCCAACTCCCAGATGAATGCATGGATAGAAAATGGAAAACCCCAGTGTGTTGGTTGAGCTCCTTGTTTTAATGTAAACTCTTTTCATTTTCATTCAAGCATATCTAAAGGCTCTGTAGCAACCATACAGACACTGCCTGCGCAAAATGTTAACAGGTGCAGGGAATGCATATAGTCATGTCAAGACAGGCCAATGCTTCTTTTTTATGTAGCAGTCTAGAAATCAAGTTGGCCCTTTAAGAACGGAAAGTCAACATACAAAAATGTAATTCTTTCAGCTACAAGGATAGATATTTGACTGCTAGGAGGAGAAAAAAAAATCAAGTGGTATCTAATCCCACGCTTATGAAAAATTAATATGTCGTCAGAGGAATCACAAGTACAGCTAAGATTAATGAAAGGCGCTTAAAAAATTACAAGCACACAAACTGATTTGATTAAAAAATAATCTCACTGGTCGTCCTGTAATATTCCTCAACTTATCCGCATCTATCCTGTCAGATGGTTATGATTAAAAATAGGTCAATGTGAGGCTACTGATAGGAATCACATGCAAAATGCACAAGCAATGAATGGGAGCAGGAATGTCTAGACAGTTGGAAATTAAAGATCAGTAAAATAAAATAAAAAAACCCTACAGTGTTGGATGAGACAGCAGACCTGGGAATCTCAAAGGATCCAGCAAGGAGGAGGGTGAAGATTAAATCTTACCTGAATCCTTTACTGCCTTGCCCTCACTGCTGTCTTTCTCATTTGTGCCTCTCTCCTCAGCTTGGGCTGCAGATGGGAGTTTTAGAGTTTCCTCTGATTCCTCTGCTTGTTCTTCTAGAAGAGCACAAAAATGCGGCATTTTAGATGCCATATTTTGGTAGCACCTAACATCTAATGAGAACAATCGCAATGACAATAAGAATAGTAAAAATGATAATAGCAAATAGGTGATTACATTTACAACCACTTGATTAAAATAAATATATATGTATATATATATAATAAATATACACACACACAATATAAAGCATACAACAGATACACATGAAAGAGTATAAGAAACAGACAAAAATCTCTCGCTAATATCCATTAAACTTGTAAACAACAATCCAATATATACATACATACACATACAACATCTATCTATAAAAACATGTGTACACATACCTATGTGTCAGTGGGTTATATACATTTGTACAATAAAAACACACACACACACACACACACACACACTGTATATAGTGATGCTAATAGGTACATATAAGAAGCAAAGATAGAGGCAAGTGCACATGAAAAAGCTCATTAAACATAATGACAATTCAGTACTTTCCAGCAAAAACTGTAGCACAAGCAAAAGATACAGATGAAGGGCAAGAGTTGAAAAATCATATATATATATATATATGTTGTACAGTTTTAGAAAAAAACCAATAGCTATTTCCAACAGCTATCTGCTGTTGCCTTATTTTTTAGCACTGCCTGCAATTAATAATTGAATAGCTACAGTGTTCTTATTGTTTCACCACAAGGGGAATCGCAAAGGTTATTTGATACAATGAAGGATCATCTCAAGAAATCTGCATCTCACTCACCTCACTTCTATGTTCACACCAGCCAGATTACATAGAAAATCTTCACAGTAACTCAACCCTATTTAATTATTCTGTAAATCTTAGCTATGCTGCTGGTGGATTAATCTGTTTATGCAGTTAGCCTGTATGCTGGGGCTGTGTAGCACTAATCCATGAAAGGCCCACTGTTCCTTTTCATCCTGTGATCATTTGTCTCTCACAGTGCTGATGTCACATTTTAATGAATTTTTAGCAATCTGAGTAATGCCAGATAACCAGGCCCTGCAACTGAACTGCACTCCATGCTGCTTTCATTGCTGCACAAAAATAAAAATCGTATTTCTCAGCTCAGGTAAAAATTACAGATATTAGGAGGCAAATGTACACTCAGTGCTCTGTGCCCTAGACTGCTCAGTTTCATAATGGCCATATAAATTAACCCCAAGGAAAGGAAAGGTAAAGAGAAAATACACATATGTATTTTTGAAGGCATCAAAGGTTGACCTAGTTAACCCTTCACAAGCCTTTTTTTATGCACTGCTACTGCAGATAAGCAGATAGATCTGTGAATCACAGCTGACTGCTCGAATCCCAGTTGTTATTTTTCCTTAAATACATATACGGCTCCTGGTTCATTACTGAGCAAATCCAGATCTGACAAATTCTACTGACCTGTCACAGTAGATCGATTTTCATAGCTAGCACATGGTTACTATCACTTAAAAAAAAGCCAATTTTAATGACTATTGGTTAAGAAAAATATCTGCAGTGATTTAATTGCATGGCTACTTAAACCATAGTATTAAAAAGAAGGCCATACACATATTTCCTGGGACAAATTGTGGGACTGTCTTTGGGAGTTAGGGACAGTTGGCAAGTGAGCTACCACTCCAAACATTTTAAGCATTATGCATTAAGTTTAAATTACGTACTGCATCAAATTTTCATTGTGAAAATGCTACGGTGATTGAAAGCAGATAGAGTGGACCTCTCCACACCACATGTTTTATTAATAATGCTCTGACAGCTGAATGAAATCTTGTCTAACATATGCAGCAGCTGAGTACAAAAGAGTGGGGAAGAAAAAAGCAAACAGCATCACTAAATATAATACACAGGCTGAAAATGAACAGCAGTGTTGTTGGTGGTGGGGGTGATATCATAAACACTAGCAACACAGTGCTGTACCATGAAGATGGTCTCGGACAGCTTGAAAGAGATTGTTTCTGGTACAAAGAAGGGCTTGTTAATGGTGATTGCGGCACCCACACGCGAGGGCTGCATGCTAGTTTACAAATGTTTGCTAAAATGAAAGGTTTTGCTTTGAGATAATTTATGTATATGTGTATTCACAGAGTGCCATTATGGTGGGGGTGTGGGGGAGAGGAAAACATTGCTTGCTGCTTTAGCCCTTTATTCCTCCACTGGTGATTGCTAATCAAACACGGCACGCTTCTTCATCACAGTTGGAAGTGACGCTGTATTTATTAGGGTGGAGGGGGGCACGGTTTGGTCTGCTGTGACTCTGTGATCATGACGGGATTGGGCTGCGCTAATGCCAAGTGCACACGCATGAGACTCACGTCCAGTGTCAGGCCCTGGGGCCAAGTCCAGCCAGTGGCATTTTTTTTTCTTCAATTCCTTGAAATCAAGATTTTTTTTCCCCTGGATTTACTGACCCATTCCCCAAGGCTGGAGAATGAAGTGTCAAAGAGCTACTGCCTGTCCTCATCTTCGGGGGAACATGAAATTTTTAAGACTATTGTGGCACGTATTAATAAAACATTGCGTGCCAGGAAACCAGCGCATAGCAAGAAGAGAAAAAAAAAAGCAAATTATAATGGTTCTAAAAAGTAATCTTATCATCTGGGTCTCATCAGACAGTTTTGCAGGGTGCTCTCCTGTTTTTTTTTTGCTGGTATGTGTTTTAAGTGTGAGAGAAATTCCCAGACATGGTCTTCTATACATCATCGTGGTGTCTGACCTCAAAGTGACCCTGGCAACAGTTTGAGAAATCTCAATGTGAACAAAGACTTTGTGTCAGCAGCATGGAAAGATTGCGGGATAGACTTTCCCCATCAACTTAATCGCAAACAGCAGTTTTTGTTGTTGTTGTTTTTTTAGGCCATAACTTTATAAAGCTTTACCAAACCACAAACATATAACCTTTCAAGGTGAAGTTGCCCCCTTTTGCTGAGGTTCTTCCCTCCTCCCTTCCTGATTTCTCTCTATCCTCTTTTATTCCCTTTGATGTAGAAAGGCAATTAGCTCTAATGTTCAAGTGCTGCAGGCCTCTTTTATGGCTTGGAAGGTGAGAGCTGTTTATAACAGGTAGACTCCAGAGGGTCACAAAGGCTTTGTATATTTTTCATTACAAGCAAAAAAAAACAAAAAACGAAGCATAAAATGTAACCTGATTACTTTTCAAATTAAAAATCTTAACTCAAAAGATTTTATTCAAGTTTTAGTCTAAGACCCTTTAGGGCAGAAAATATGGTTAGGCAAGACTTTTCTGTATTTGACTGCTGCTGGCACTGTGCTAAGCTTGGCCAACATGAAAAAAATCTCCATTTTGCTAAGCCTATGTTCGTATAAGTCACTGCCTGTGGCAAAGAGATAAAAGCGGCTTGTCCAGGGGTCACTGTGTTTCAAGCTGGGTTACAACACACGATATGGCCCCCTATTCTACAGCGCAGTTCAATTATGATGTGCATGGAGATCACTCAGTCTTCCCCAGCACTGAAAGGATTAACTGGAAACATGATTTAAAGGAGGTGTAGCCTTGGTTAAGCCAATGGCCCTTGAAATTGAAGACCTTGGTTCAAGACCAGTGGCAGCTTTTGGTGACCTAGGGCAAAACACTTTATTCCATTGTGCTCAGGAGAACAACAATTCAATTGCAAGCTCACTGGGTCAGGCATTCATTGAAATATATTGTTTCCACACCTTTTATATTGCAGCTTTTTCATTATCATAATGTAATAAAATATGTCAATATTAAAAGCATAATTTTACATATTTTCCAGATTCTGGGATGTATATGTCTTCTGTAAATGGTCACTTATTGCTATCTTTTTTTAACAATACCAAAACATATTTAAAAACATTCATATTAAAGGCATGCAGTAAATCAATTATCATGATTAGTCTACAAATGCAGTTATTTTAGTTCAATATTTTAACCTATGCTGTTTTTTTTTTTTGACAAATCATATTCATCTATAATTGTCCTATTATGTCTGTTTTGATTTCACACATATAGTAACTTAAAGACTTCTACTGTGTGAACTGTTCTTAAGAACCCTTCAGGCAAGGTCCAGCATCATGAACAGCATGTTGCAGAATGTGTCTTTGATGAAGGATGCACACAGGCAGGCACATTCTAGGATGGACAAATATGTTTTTCTATTCCGACACTCAGCAGTAGAATAAAAATCACTTCCATATCTCCTTTATTAAACATATTTATCTTCTCGCTGTTTTTGACAGACTGTCATTGCGGTCATTTTTTGCAAAAATATGTAATAAGCTGTCACAAAAATGTAAGGCCTCCTCGCTTGTGTTGCATGTTGTAAATTTATAGCTGAGGGAGAATTAAGATGGCAAATGAAAAAGGACCTTCAACGCATCCATAATATTTTGGACAAATATAATCGATGGCAAAATGATTCATTCAAGTCCTTAGATCCTATGATTTGCTCACTACTTTAAAGGCACAGTTCTTAGAGTATATCTAAAGATGTTTTTAAGCTATGGATAGACTAGGGGATGGTTGAAATCCATGTCTTTTTTTGCTGTCTTTGTCCCATTGAGGACAATCTTTCCAGAGTGACATGAGATTCCCTCTAGAGGTGGCCATGCACTTTACAACCATCGCAAGACCTTAGTCGGGCTTGCGATGACTGCAATGCTGAACGGGCAGTTTGCGCGTGCGCACACCGCCCAATTCGGCATTTGTCTCCCGAGCACCGTTCAAATCAGCCGAAAATCTTACGATTTTCGGCTGGTTTTCTAGCCTGCTCCTTAGACAAAAGACGTGCGACTGTAAAGTAGAAATGGTCGCACAACTTCATTCACACTGCACGATTCTCGTACGAGAATCGTGCAGTGTATGGGCACCTTTACTCAGTTGCCACCAGAGCAAGTGTCACGTTTGGAAGATTTTCCCTCTATCCTGTTTCAGTGATAACTGTAGAAACTTTGTATTTCCTTGTCCCCTTAAATCTCCCCCGCAGTGACACTTTCCCACTCTATCTAAAACTA